CTAAACCTAAAGCCTAAACTGAAACAAACTACCAACAACCGCAGACGCGAAGACCTAAACCCTCGCTTAGCCCTACATACCCTGTACACCCCTATACCGATCAGTTCAAAGGTTCATTACCAACTTCACGCACTCATTGCCCTGGAACAAGTTCTTGGAGAACGATCCGGGTCGCACGTGGCCGGTGTTGCACAACGTTCCTGATCCTCAAGTTTCGGGCGTTCAGGTTTAGGGCTGAGGGTTCTTGGATCTATGTTTCTGGATTTTGGGCATGGGGTTTGGTGTCTAGGTGTTAGTTTGCCCAGATCCTCCTTTTCTGAGGTATGGGAGGTCGGTATAAATGCGTCACCAGGGGTCTCCCAGGTTTCCGCGCTAAAGATCTCTACGAACCCGCGGGTCGCTTCTAAAATGCTCTTGGTGTTTAGGCTGTTGGTAAACCCTAAACCCTAAATAGCTTCCATTTCCTTTCCATTATCCCAAACATAACCCCAAATATACTATAGTCATACTACCAAGAATATTATACAAGGGGGTGGTAATGAGAAACTTCCCTGACCCGAGAAAATCCTCAGACTTCGAAGTTGCTAATGTAGTCTTAATTGCGAACGTATGGTTTGCTTTCATATGCTCATATGCCCTATGCACATATTGAAGGGTCTTGGGTAGTTCTTTGTCTTTGAGAGGGTTATGACCATGAACTTCCTGGGCCCCAAACACCTTTAAGATCGTGGCTCGCAGTTGAAATCAGATTCAAATCAAAATTAAATCTCTCCTACGCCTCCTCCTATTTCTACTCTCATTCCTCTTCCTCCTACTACTCCTACAGTGTGTTGTGTGAGTGCCTGCAAGCGTTGCATGGGGAGACTGGTTTTGTATTGTCTAGGTTAGGAGGACCCCCACCCTGTAATAGTGACTAAAAGGGATAATAAGGATTCTATTAAAGTCCGATTATATTTTTAATATACCGCTACTCCAGGGTGGGAGGGCCCCCTAATGTCTAAGCTGCTTGCAAGGTTTGATTGATAGAGCAGAAAGGGTTGTATGGAGAGCTTTATGATGACTGCACACGAGAGCGTGCGTGTCCCATAGCATGTTCGAAAGTTCGTAGCCCCCCATTAAGTAGATAGAATATGGGGTATATGGGGATCTGATTTAGGGTTTAGGGCTTAGGGTGTAGGGTATGGGGTCTATGGGGATCTCATTTAGGGTTTAGGGTATGGGGTATATGGGGCCGGATCTTATTATAGTATAACCACAGCCAGATTCTATCTGCTTAAGGGGACTATAAGGTTTGCTAGTGCAAGCATACATCAAGGTTAACATGAGGCTTCTATGTGGAGAAGCGGCCTATGTAACTCACCTGATAACTCCTAAGATTTGTAGGTACCTCATTGGGATGTTTTCGAATGGCTTTCCAAAGCGTTGAGGTTATGGCACTGGCCGTGGGAGGGAAGCACCGCTGGAATGAGATGCTTTTCCATGACGTCCACCACACCTTCCCAAATGCTTTAGGCACCTGGGAACTGGGGTCTATCAAGCTTTTCTTGGCGTCGTGATTTGGAAAGCGTACAGCCCTAAACCCTAAACCCCCAAACCCTAGACCCTAAACCCCTAACCCCAAAACCCCTAAATAGTAATTTCCATTTTCTTTTCCATTATCCCTAGACAACCCCGATAACTCCCCTTAAAAGGTACCATAAAACCCAGGAACCCTCAGCCAGCGGGGGCGCTTCCATGGCTGGAAGAAGGTTCACGACGCCGCGGTGGAGGTTCCGGCTCCAGAGGGATCTCTGGGTTGTCCTTTTTTGAAGGGGGATATGGGGGATATAGGGGTTCGATGTAGGGTTTAGAGTTTAGGATTTTGGGGATTTAGGGTTTAGGGTTCTAGGATTTTAGGTTTTTGGGTTTTGGTGTATATATACATATATGGGACTTCCGGTTTCAGGGTTTAGGGGTGTGAGGTTTCAGCGGCTTAGGGTTTGGGACTTCATGCGGCAAAAGTCTCTTGAATTGGCAAGTTGGGAGAGAGTGCCGTGCAAGCGCCGGTGCCAATCGGAAAGCCCCGTGAACCTTCCCCGTGATCCGCAGATCATGCAGCAGAAGCTCGAACCCCTAAACCCTAATGTAGACCGCTGATCAAGAACCCCCCTGCCCTCAACAGTGATAGTAGGGGGATCCTAATATTCAAGCCCTTAAAAGGAGGGGGTTTATTAATCATGGGTCTACATCAAACCCTAAGAAAACGTTGCAAGCCCGCAGCTCACAGAAAGCCCAGCTGCATCATCAGACTATCATTTCACAGGTCCTGTACCGTGGTCTCTGGCGGGAGAATGGCGATGAGGAGAGTGAACTGGTGTTTTTGTTATGTCTTGGCTTTGCTTCGGAGTTGCTTGCAGATGCTGAGTCTGTCTCTCATTTGGAAATTAGGTTTGAGGTCGTGTGGAAGGGTTGGGATCTTCAAGTCACACGGCCAGGAGACAGAAATGCAGAAGAGCGCGAAAAAGAGGTCCATGCTGATGAAGCAAGGGGCAAGCAAGTGAGTCGATGGTTGCAGCATCGTAGTGCTAGATAAAGGGATTTACCCTAGATATCGTGTAAAATTATGGTACGGAGTACCTCAAAGAGACTTCAGAATGAAATTGCAAATTATTCAGGCTTTAAATGATTGGAACCGCAGATGGGGGCGACTAGGAGTGAAAAAGCGTTGCAGGGTCCAGTATTCATGGGTGCCCACAGAGATTGTAGGGACTATTCGGGACTGTGTTTGGGGTCGAAAGGGACAGTGTTGGCTGGAATGCCCTTCATTTCTACATCTCGCTTTCCATCGACAGGATTGAGCCGCGTACCTTGTGCTTTTGCTATTTTACTCGGGTCATGCATGGGTCTTTGCAATGCTGAGAGCTCCCGATGTCCTCGATACAGTCAAATAGACAGCTGAACAGGTATTGTAAGAGCCTCATTGACTACCAATATTACAGTGCCACATTCCTCATATAAGTGTGGATTAGGGCCGATCAGGGTACCTGAGACGGGCCTCAAAATAATATTGGTAATTGTCTGGTAGTTTCCCGAAATAAGGGGATCCCACTGTAGACCCCAACATGTTATAATCCTTACTCTTGGGACTCCCCAAAAAAGGTACTCCTAATTTGGGAACTACCTATGCAGGTCCCTACATGACGCAGTATCAGGTTCTTGTTAAGACTTCAAAGACCTTTGCTAGGCTTCATGCTGTAAACATCCCATGTAGACACAACCCGATGCTTCATATCTAGGCTCCTACATTACAGCCATGGACGGGAGAGACTCCAACAATGACCCAGATGCATGATCTATCCCCTGCTGGTGCTTACGTAGGAACTAGCATACGGGATGACATTGAGAATTTTGCAGGCTTTGTTCCCTAACTCCCCCTCTGAAGCACCAGTACGATCCTGATTTCATGGGATACCTCCCCCTATACTACCCCCCTCTAGGTTCCTCCCTGAGTGACTGTTATTTAGGGATGGTGGGGATTAATTAAGGTTAATAAACCAAGGGGGTGCCTAGGAGGGGTAGTATAGAGGGGGTAGTAAGGAAACCCATATGAGGATTTATCCCAGTCGTCCAGGCCACGGCTTGGCATGACCGGGTTGGTTTCTGTCGCGTGCATAGTTCTACCATGGGCCCCCCTGACGTGCACGGCCCCGAGATACATTAAGGCCGAGGAAGCTTGAAGAGCTTGTGGCCAGACTCCATAGTAGCATAATTTATGGTATACCATATAGTCTATTATACTATATCACAATTTATCATCGTATATTATAGTCTATTATAGTATATAGAAGCTCATATGCCCTCATAGTTTCCGAGAACCTCAACCAGGCCTTGTGTAGTGGTGTCCCATACATCGAGGGGGGCCCATAGTAGCCCCATGACCATGTAAGACACGTGCCTGGGAAAGCTGTTCCGGACTGATGGATCACAGTTAGGCCGCACGTGTGTTGCGAGCAAGCTGCTGCCAAAGCAGCCTCCAGCTTCATGAGGAAAGTTTACTTTCAGTAACGTATATTTCCTAGACATCTTCAAAGCCCTTTCTGTATATATGTATGTACACATACACTTTTTTCTCCCGCCAAAGGGGGCAAACATTGCCGATACCAGCAGCAAGAGCGGTGGATAGAGAGCCAGGCTGCAAAAAGTCGGGGTGGCACATACATCATAATATTGATGACGATTTCTCTTGCCTCTGATACATACTTGTCACTCCTGCTCCATGACGTCAGTCGCTTTTGATCGATACTCATCCGTTCTAATAACCTGGCAAGTTAGAGCGACCTCACCCGACCTCACCCTAAATGGCGGTTTATATAGGGCATTGAAACTAGTTTAAATTACCCTGGAAATGGAGGGCTGCTGTGGTTGGCAGCAAATTAGAGCCAAGCAGCTGCAAGCACCCAAATCCAAGGCTTGGCGTGGCAGGTGGCTGCAGTGCATGGACGGGAAGTCCAAAATCATGGCTCCAATTCTTGAAGTTAAATATGTCCAGCAACTAGTAAAATGTGATTTTGGATGTCCCATGCAATCCTTTGCGCAGCCCTTTTGGAAGGGCCAACCAGAGTGGAGGATGGAATTAGGCAAGACATTGTTTGAGCTGCCTGCAAGGCTGCAAGGAGTGTCCCCGCCCCCGACGTTCCATGAAGGATCCCACATGATCCCGCGCTATGTACCCTTTAAAGGAAACTCAGGGTTTCAATTTTATTTCCATTGTTCTTTTCCATATGCTTCTCCGTTTTTGTGATTAAGTTTCGGAAGCTAGACCTTCAAATCCCCAACCCTAAGCCCTACAATATTTTTCCATGCACCATTGAGCTGGGTTCCCCCACAGAACTCGGGTGCGAGCGACGCTCTTCAGAGGTATACGCCTTGCCAGATGCCCTGAGCACCAGGCGATTCCAAAAAAGAGAGCAATGAGTTTGGGGTTTGGGGATTGGAAGAAGAGAGCAATGGGTTTGGGGTTTAGGGATTAGGGTTTAGGGATCAGGGTTAGGGATTAGGGTTAGGGATTAGGGTTTAGGGTGTAGTAGGGAATAAGTCCTGGTAGTAAGGGCAGGCTTCATGGCGGGGCTTAGGAGGGGCTCGAGGGAGGGCTCCGTCCCGAATATTGCCGATGCCACTATAACCCCAATCTATTAAGATATAGTAGTTTCCATTTTCTTTTCCATTATCCCCTTAAAAACCCTATGTTATCCTTATGCTATCCCTTTACAAGCATCCTCGTCAGTCTCTATCAAGTCAAGGCTGTCAACCCAATCTTTTTCGCTGATCCTTGAAAAGCTGAGGCTTCTCAATCATGTGCCCCTAGAATACTAGATAGATAACCGCGCGACGCCCTTGTACTCACCAAGTATCACTCGGGTCCCTAAGGGCCTGGTATTTTGAACAGCTCCATCGGTGCTTGTGCCGAGGTTCTGGTCGCGTGCTTGCTACCCTGTGGCGGCATCATGTACCGAAACCAGGCCGCCTGCAAGCAGCCGAGGTCGTATGATGTTTCGCAAAATTTCTGGGTTCTGCAGTCATTTTTTGGGGCATACCGGCATACCACTTTGTCATGTGCTTGGGGGCTTCCACAGGAACATGCACGACATGTCTTTAGTGATCATTCTTCTAGAGGTCCCTAGGGCCTGAAGCACCCTCACGCATCCCAAGGCCAAGCCACAAAATCTCAAGAAATAATGTAATGAATAGCGATCCGGGAGTAGCACCCCAATAACCGCTTCATGATCCCCAAAAGCAGTCCCTAACGTGTATCTTGGTTGGCCAAACTCCGCAATCCTTGAACCCTACACCTCTACAGTCCTAACACATCAAAATTGAAATTCCGAAGCCCTAGACCTCTAAACTCAAGAGCCCTAAACTTATAAGTCCCGACACCTGTATTTCTAAACCCCAGACATTCCCACAACCCTCTCACAGGGCGTTTAGCCTAAGCAGCGGTAAGTTTGAAAATGAGCCTTAATGTTTGCTACCCTTAATCCCTGGATCCTTATAAGGCCGTTAAAAAAAGATGAATTTCTAGGGCCCCCAACATTACCCTAGTAACTGGCGCAACCCTGAGGTGTATGAGGATCGCACGAAGGGGCTCCATCTCCTGGACGGCAAAGTTGAAGAGCTCTTCGCCTGTCCTTGCTGCCGTGGGGTTAGGGCTTTTAGGGGCGTAGGGTTTAGGCAAAAGGGGTTTAGGGTTTGGCAAGAGGGGTTTAGGGTTTAGTGAGTGGTTTAGGGTTTAGGGATGTTTTTTGAGGTCTGGGGCCATGGGGTCAGGGGTTTAGGATTGGATCCCTACCATAGCCCTTTAAAGTCTCCAGCAACACAATTAGTAGTTTTCATTGCGTTTTCTTTCCATTCCTCTAACATTAACACCCTAATTATACCCTACCGTCTAGTAGTTTCCATTGTCTTTGCCGTTCCTTCAGTCCTTGCGAAAAACCAGCAAGTAAGCCCCCCAACCCCTCCATGTGGTCCATGCGCGAGGTTCGAGCATCGATTAGCCCAACTCGAATCGCAGGCGACGCGCCGCAGAGCTTCCAGGAGTTCTAGGTTACTAAAAGAATGTATGTGCATGTAGGAATATATTGTGTATATCTTAGGAGGACCCCCCACCCTGTAATAGTGGTATAATAGCAATATAAGAGGACACTTTTACAGTCCTTATTATCCTTTATAGCCACCATTACAGGGTGGGGGGTCCACCTAATGTATATCTATGTGTTTATGTGTAAGTACAGTTACAGGGGCGTCAACTGTGTTGGCTTCGGGTTGGGGTTTGCCTTCCCCCAAACTAACGCGGAGCCCTATCTCGACCCCTTTGGTCGCGGGGCTGGTCTTTATTGGGCCCCTTTTGGGATTCCCTTCGTCTTTCAGGGTTGGGATCGGGAGTCGAGCAGAGAATCTACAAAATGATCCCCAGATATACGCCTCAAGAGTACCGGAAGCGTTAGATCGGGAGCCTCTTGAGTCATAGGCCCCCGGAATCCTACACCCTGAGCCCCAGAGCCCAAGCAGACACCAAGCGAACGAAGCGAGTGGAGAAACCGTTCTATAGATTCTTTGGACCGGCGATCGGTATCAAGCTGTCCTATCACACGCACGTCTCTAGTGTTGAGGTTTGGATACAGGCCTCTTTGGACCACAGTGCCGTCCGAATCACTGGACTTGCGCAAGATCTTTCACTGTTTTTAAGAGAGCCATTGTCTAGTGTGGTATTTTGGGCAGGAAATTGGGATGAATCCCTTGGACAAGGTAGAAGAAGGGCTATGCAGTCCGTACTGGATAGAAAGTATGTATACCCAAAAACATCGCCCGAGCTGTCTGACCATGACGCAGGGATGCTAGACCTCCATCATGCTGGATTGCTGTTAAGGAACTTAACTTATGATACTATAAGAGGAAACCCTATTATTCACTATATACGTACCCAAAAAGCCTTGCTATTCACTATACTATGTACCCAGAACATGGTAACTTAAATTAGATTCCTTAACAGCAACCCAGTGTAG